TGGTGTACCATTCTGCACACCCTCCGCATTGTCTGAGAGTTCTCTTTGCTCTTCATCCACACCATCTGGATTGGACTGGATCATAGCATCCAGATTTTTTACTTCTGACCATTTGAGTGGGTATGAAGTGTCACTGCGGTTTGCATTTCTCTAGTTGGTAATGAGGTTCAACATCTTTTACGTTTATGGTCTGTTTACATAGCTTCTAAAGGAATTTTTGTGAATTTTGCCATTTTTTTTCCTATTGGAATGTTTATCTTTCTTATGGATGTACAGATATTAATGATATACTTTGGGTGTGATTTTTATATCTTTTTACTCTCTTTGGTACCTTTAGTTGAATAAAAGCTCTTAATTGCACTATTGCCAGACTTACTAATCTTTTCATTTTCAGTATGTACTTTCGGTATTTTACTTAAGGAACTCCTTCTGACTTTAAGAATAGAATATATATGATCTTTACTGCAACTTCCGCGTTCAAGGTTTCATAACTGTTGGCTAGTTTACTGTCACTGTTCTCTGAGCCAAAATCCACAGAATCTTAACCATTACAACTTTATAATACTAATGTCTACTAGGGCAAGTTACTTTCACTTAGTTGGTAGTGTTTCTGTTGTCATGTCTTCCTTTTTTTTTTTTTTTAAGTTTTTTGCCATAAGGCACGTGTGCTCACCAGAGACAATGAGCGGTAAATTGAGAAATCACCCCCAGATAGACTGACCACACCACTATCCCTTCTCCTGCATTCTCCTCCTGAGATTTTGGGCATATGCACGCACACACACACACACACACACACACACACACACCCAGCAGTTTCAAGCCACCATTCTAGGACTCCAACTGTGGTCATCCTTGTGGAAGTCCCATGCCTTAACCACGATGCCACCTGCTAGCCCATGTCTCATATTGTTTTCTTTCTCCTTTTCCCTTCATCGTCCTTCCGCTTTTCCTGCTCTTCCTTCTCCTTGTCGTCTTTCTTCTTCTGGGATATCTGAGTTATTTTTGGATCATTAGTTTATATATATTATAGAAATCACTTTGCCAATTTCCATAGAAAACTCCAGATTTTTCTTTAAATTAAAATTATGCGGTGCTGAGAGATGGCTATGTCACTGGACTTCCACATGGCCGAGGGCAATCTGAGTCCCAGACCCATAGCTTGAAACTCATGCTGGGCGTGCATGTGTGTGCATGGGAGGAGAATGGAGGGAAAGGGATTATGGTGTGACCATGTCCCCTTGGGGTTGATTTCTCACTTTCCCTCTCACTGTCTCTCTCTCCAGTGAGTGTACATGCCTTAAAGCCAAAACCTCAAATAAATAAATAAATAAATAAATTCCCAGGAATATAATGGAGGAGAAGGGACTGCAGTGTGCCCATTCCCCTGAGAGGTGATTTCTCACTTTTCCTCTCACTGTCTCTCTGTCTCTCTCTCTCCCTCCCTCCCTCCCTCTCTCCTTCTCTCCCTCTCTCCCTTCATGAACGCACATGCTCTACAGCGAAAACCTCTAAAAAAAAAATTACATGTGTCACTATATATAGTTAGCTATACTGTATAGCCTATAACCTTTGTGTAGTGGGCTATACTACCCAGGTTTGTGTAGGTATACGCTGATATTCACACAATAACGACATTGCATTTCTCAGAACATATCACCAATAAGGCATGCATGACTGTGCATCTACTAACTATTGAATCTATTAATTATGTTGTTCAGAATTTTTACCTTTGTGACAGTCTTTCCATGATCAAACATGACACATCCATTCCACTTAATTAGAACTTCTTTAATGTCTTTCTGTAAAGTTTGTATAAATTTTCGCATAAAGTTCTTACACTTCTTTTGTTCAATTTATCCCTGGGGTTTTTGTTCTTTTGTAAATAATTTCACCTTTTTAAAAATGTTTTCTTTTGTAACTCCTATTGCTAGTGTATTAAAATACCACCCATGAGTCTAGATCTATGATGCAGTGGCAACACACTGCTTAAGAAAAGCTGGATCCCTGGGACCAGCAGATGGCGTAATGGCTACATCGCTGGACTCCCATGCAGTCAACAGCGGTTCGAGTCCCAGACCCGGTGGCTTAAACTCAAGCTGGGTGCATGTGCGTGTGTGCCCAAGATCTCAAGAGGAGAATGGAAGAGAAGGGATTGCAGTGTAGTCATCCCCCCCCCCTCCCCTGGAGGCTGGTTTTGTGCTTTCTGTCTCTCTGTCTCTCTCTTTCTGGCGAGCACACACGCCCTATAGCAGAAATCTCTCCAAAAAAAAAAAGGAAAGAAAAGCTGGATCCCTTCAGGCCAGTAGGTAGCATGGTAGTTAAGGCCAAACACCCTCATGGCCGACCATGGTTCAAGTTATGGACCCAGTGGCTTGAAAATTACACCAATATGTGTGTGTGTGTGTGTGTGTGTGTGTGTGTGCCCAAAAATCCTGAGAGTAAAATAGAGGAGAAGGGATTGCAGCATGGACAACCCCCCGGGAAATGATTTCTCACTTTCCCTCTCTCTAACTAGATCTCTCTCTTCTCTCTCTGGTAAGCACGGATGCCATATGGCCAAAAACGATCTTAAAAACAATAATTTAGAAAAAGAGAGAATGAAGTCAGATCCCACAGGGTGACTGCAGTTAGAATCCCTGGTTCAGTCATCCTGAGACATATCAGGCACATATACAAATGCCCAGGATCTGATAGGCTGGAGGACTGAAGGTGACCAAAGTATGATCAAACCCTGCAGAGGGATTCATCTCTCTCACTCACTCCCACATGCACAGCACACACTCTATTACAAGTAAAGGGGAAGAAAAAAAAAAAAAAAAAACACTTTCAAGTATTATATCATCAGTTAGTTGCCTTTTAACTAATATAGATTTCCAGCTATTCAGAATTGAGACATTTACCAAAGTAAATGTGTCAACAAGCACTTGGTAAATTAAGACATTCAGGGCTGACATTCAGTAGCACACAAAGACACGGCTGTATGAGTTACAAAAATATGAAAATACTTCCATAATGGAGTACCCTAGTTTCCTCCACCCCCTGGTCATCCTGGCCTCTCCTATTTGTGATCTCAAGTTTGAGAGGCAACCAGCTTAACACCCAGCACAGGCCTCAAGCCAAGCTCCACTAAAGCTGATGTCTGTTCTTCAGACATGCTTGTTTCTCATGTCTTCTGAGTTGTTAAATAGTTTCAGTATTACCCTTTAGCTCATAGGCTGATGCTAATGTAAATGCCATGGGTGAAGTATTCATTTGAGTGGTTTCTCAGTCAGAGGTGTGAAGAGCTCAGAAAGAAGTGCTAAATTTTGGAGTTCAAGGAGGAAGTCCCGGAAATCTGAGCTGTGACTCAGCAGATTCTATTTAACACCTACTTCCTGATAATCCTGATCAAAATCTCCACAGTTTCACCACTCTCCTCCACTTGAAGCTCCTGCAGGCACTGCACATGCCACTTATTTCCATCTGAACACCTCATCTTTATCTGCTAAATCTGCTCTCTGACTTCCTCAGTTAGTGGCAGAGCTTCTCCCACCATGTCGTTTGCCACAGTAGAAAATTTAAAACCACCTTACACTCTGCCTCATTCTCATTTCCTTTCTTTTATTGTATACCAAGATCTGTCAGTTCAATGCTATAAGAAGTCTCTCAAATCTGACCTCTTCTCCACTCCTATTGCTCCTGTCTCCTAAAGCTTTGAATTGTTTCCTGACTGGTCTGTTGGCCTCCAGCCGCTTTTGCTCCTGCTCCTCAACCCCTCCCCTGCCCTGCTCCTAGCATTGCCAGTCCCTGCCTGGTCCATTAGCCACCAGTTGCTTCCTTATCTGTGGAAGAGAATGCAGGTGGAGCTGTCTGCCTTGACAGAAAGAGTTTTTTGGTTTTTTTTTTTCATTTTTATTTATTTTTATCACTACACTGTTTAGAATAGTGCCATTACAAAGCTGATTGACCTGGCGTTGATGTAGTATTGGGTTCAAATTCTCTCCAGACAATGTATCCTTTTTTTGCCTGTATCTGTCCAATGTTCCCACCCAGTCTCCTTGGTAGGATGCTGGAGGTATGTTCTGCCTCATACAGTTGCAGTAAGGTTAAAAGAAATGATGCTTGCTGAGAATTTAGCCCATTCCCCAGCACAGGGTAAGCATTTTGATAATGTGACAATTACAGATAATGACATTATTGGTCCCCATTTCGGGGACAGTTTCTGTCTTGATGTGTACAGCCTTTTACACACAGCTTCTGTCATATCTTTAACCTACCTGAAACCTGATTCCAATTAGGCCTAACTGTTTACTTGCCATGGACATACCTAGTTCTCTCAAGTTCCCATGCATTTGAATGCCTTTTCTCTGCCTGGAATATCTTCCTTCCCTCTCTGTCATTCTTCACCTAATATAGGGCTCACATTGTTTTCTGTGAAGCCTGCTTCAGAGTATCCACACACATGGTATGACTCCTCCCCATTCGCCCTTTTCCCAAGGCGGTCTTCTCTTACCTCCTCTTTAAAGCCTGCTGCGACTGGGGCTCCTGGAGCGAGTCTACAACGCACATGTTTGTACCCACAGGCACCACCACTGTACCTGCGGGATACCAATTCAGTAGCTGCCTGGAGGCTTGGGGATGGGGATAAAGGAGGGTGGGAGGAGTACTTGTTTTGTTTTATTCGAAGAATGAAGAAATGCACGTATGGTAATAGTTTTGACTCAATTCTAAGTCTAGCAAAGAGTGTAGCTAGTGGCAGTTTTGGTTATGTTACGAAATTTCTATTGGATCCCTCTTTCCAAAGACATTATTTCCAAATAAATACTAGGATATTTGTGTTTCTAGAGAATTAACCTCAGTCCCTGAAGGAAAGATTTCTTCGAGGCAGAGAGCCAGAGTAGGTCAACTCTGTTTTCGCAGCCGTCCCTGAGAGGGCGCTGTTCCCAAATCAAACCCCAGAGGCTGGGAAAGAAAAACCGTTGCTTTCCCACCGGATTCGGTCAGCATCCCTTCCCAGGCAGCGGCCGCGGGTCCCCAGCGGAGCGCCTGCCCACAAACATGGCGGCGCCCTACTCGGCTTCTCGCCGCCGGGACCGTGGAGCCGACTCGGCCTTGCCAGTACTCGGGGACTTCCTTCGCTCGCCGGCTTCCTGCCCGGCTGGCATTTAAACCAGCTCCTGGGGCTACGGGATGCTGCTGCGGATGCTCAGCTGCCTGCCCGCTGGGCAAAGCAGACGCCGACGCCTCCCCTGAGCCGCCTCCGCCGCATCCCTTAGCCGCTCGCCTGGCAGAGCTGGTTAGGGCTGGGGCGAGATCTGGGACCCCCGGCTTCGGACTCCGACATCTGGCAGTTTCACTGGAGGTTCGACTTTAATTTCCAAGACTGCAACCCTCTTCTCCCAGCCCAGGCTGTTTTTCCTCCCTTTGGCCTGGGCTGCTGGATGAAGCAGGGGCTGGGCTAGGTACGGACAGCAGAAGAGCGCGCTGCTGCACCTCCGCCCTTCCGAGCCTCGGACCCGGGCCATGGTGCGGCTGTGCCCGGCACTCCGGTGAGGCTGCTGCGGCTCAGAGCCCAGCGGGCCGGCCCTGCGGGACACCTTCCCTGAAGAGCCTTCTTGGGGGCTGCGCGCAGGGGGGCGAGTGGCAGCCGCGATGTTCAGCTGGCTGGGTACAGACGACCGCCGGAGGAAAGACCCCGAGGTCTTCCAAACGGTGAGCGAGGGGCTCAAGAAACTGTACAAAAGCAAGCTGCTGCCCCTGGAAGAGCATTACCGCTTCCATGAGTTTCACTCGCCCGCCTTGGAGGATGCAGATTTCGACAACAAGCCCATGGTCCTGTTGGTGGGCCAGTACTCCACCGGGAAGACCACCTTCATCAGGTGAGCCAGCCCAGGGCCCTGGCAGCCCATCCCGCCGCCCAGTGCTTAGGCCCTCCGGTCGCTCCTGGTGCTCTATTCCTGCCAGGGGCAAACAGGAACTCTTCAGTTAAGAGCTCAGAAGCTTACCCCCCAGTTTCATTGCCGGCCCCTTTTCCCTATCTTCCCTGGACTGTAGCATGGCTCAGGTGGTCAATTTGAAGTGTTCAACTTCGGAGCCATCCTGTTCTTCCCATGTTAAAAACCAACACCAGAAAGGCACAAGTGGGCGCGCTCTTGGGTTCCTAGCACCTTCTGCTCGTGGGGGTGCCTTATACCCTCGCATCTAGGGATGTGTCCTTTATGGTCAGGACCACCGTTTCTTGCCTTTTAAGGGGCTCAGCATTAACATGGGGGTGCTTACGGTGGCAGCTGAGGAATTCTGGTGGGAGCAGGTCTGGAAATGGAGATGGACAAGGAGACCCTGTGGCTACCCTGTCTGGTCGTGTCACTTGTCTTTTTATCATTTTCCTTTGCTGAGGCAGAGCTCCTATGAATATCTCTTGGAGACTGGACTGTGTCCAGAAGTAGAATGTTTTCTTTCCTCTTGTTTGCTCTTAATGTTCAGTAATGATATTAAAGACTTTTAGAGCCAGAAGGGGCATTGGTGTGGTCTCATCCAGCTCCTTGACTTTGCAGGTGAGATAACCAAAGCATAGGGTGGGTCAACGAATTGTCCAAAGTCATATGGGTGGACAGCAGGTCTGGGATGCAAGTCCTAGATGCATGTAAGGAGATGGTTGGCTAAACGCCTGCAACTTTGAGGGTGAGTCATCATTACAGAGTCCTTGGGCTGGAGGGATCCTCAGGAAGTCAACTTGTCTACTGTGCATACAGAGATGTCACATATTGTCCACCACAGTGATGAGAATCCTTCTTGTCTTTAGAGAACAATCTTCTTTGCTGTCCTCCACCCACGCAACCTTCAAGACCAAGCCATTTTCCTTGGATCATTTATAGCAATTGCCAAACTATTTAGGGTGCTTGTGGCCCACTGACTCCTCTGGTGTATGAATAGGGTTCAGTGGACCCACCAAATCAAGGGTGCTCATCTTCTGCAGCTGGTTCAAAAGCAAGGGGCCTGTTGGTTCCACTCACTGTCGATTTGAGCATGGACAACATGCAAAGCACTGTGCTTTGGTGAGGAGAGCGAAAAAAGTAATTATATGGGTACTAATTTTCTAGGTACTAATTTTCTCTAACACTAAGCCTACAACACAAGACTTCTAGAAGCAGAACATGCAATTTTCTAACCCATCGTGTCTGAACAGAACACCAGATCAAGGATGTCCTTGTGGAATGGGCATCCTTGGGCTCAGCCAAGGATTTACGAAAAAGTTCAGGGCCCAGGAGTGATGGACTTGTTGGCTTGTGTATATTTAATATTATTAGAACTCCAAGAGCCCAAGTCAGCACCTCCTTTGAATATCTTATGAAAGCTTCGGAGCCATCTTCCTAAAAATGCACATGTATCCCAAATATACATACGATGCTGGGAATTCGAAGGCTATCCTCAGACCTTAGGATATGAGCCCTGATCTAATCTATACTTCTTAGGTTATTTAATACCCATTGCTCCCAAAGATGCTTCAGAGTTACTTGGGTTCTGGACGAGGCTTCATTTGTGATCTCTGTCCTCCATCTGGCCTAGTTTATGCCTCACGGCCCTTTGCTGACAGCTCTTACCTGTGCACATCCTGCCCTGACTCTCTGAGCCTGCCTAAGCAAGGCAGGCTGTTAGTCTGTTATTTGCAGCTTCTCCTTCCCAGAGCACAGGCACTTAGAAGACAGGATCTGTGCCGTAGCATCTCTGAACCTCACCCGAGGTCTTAGCTATGGAGGTTCCCACCAGAGGTTTCCAGAATGGGAGAGAAGATGAGGAAAGGCAAATGTCCCTGGGAGCAGGATCCCCAAGCAGCAGATGAGTTAAAGTGTCTTTTGTCTGAGCTACTCTTTGACTGAGTCATCGCAGGCAGTTACAAGGTCTAAGAAGGTGCCAGAGTCGAGTTGCTACAGATTATTCCTTATCTGGGAGAGACAGGAAGGCTGGGAGAAGCAGATCCCTCTTCTTTCTTATCCTCCAAGTATAAGAGCTCTCCCTCCCCACTCGTGTCAGTAACTGAATTTAGCTCATGTATCAAAAGCTGTTTTTATTCGCCTCGAGAGAGAATCATCCAGCAGCATAGGAGGAGGTATAGCACAGGGAACCCTCCAAAAATGAATTATGTCTTTGTCTTCTTGCCCACTAAATCCAGTAAAGTTATTATTATTTTTTTAAATTAGGAAATACAGAGATGAATCAATTTGGCCTGGTGCATGTGCGTGCATGCCCAAAATCCCAAGAGGAGAATAGAGAAGAAGGGATTGCAACATGGCCATCTCTACTTGGGGGTGATTTCTCGCTTTCTGTCTCTCTGTCTTTCCAGTGAGTGCATGTGCCCTATAGCAAGGATAAATTTGAAGGAAAAAAACAAACAAACACAAAAAAACATAACAATCCCATGACTCACGACAAACCACTTAAGATGTTATACATATATATTGTCATAAAGATATACATTTTTAGCTCTTTTATAACAGTTGATACCATGCCATATGTATCATTTTGTATGCTGCTTTTTTTAGCATATACCATGAACATTTCCCACGTAAACATTATTTTTAACAGCTGCAATCTCTGTTTCTATATGCAATTATTCATTTAACCAACTACTTATTTTGAATGTTTCAGGTTTTTCTTTTTATTTGTTTTGGGGTTTTGTTTTGTTTTGGTTTTGCCAGTATAGAATCACTCTGAAGGTTTCTGCTCATACTTTTTCCACATACTTGACTGCTTTCTCAGAGAGTTCCAGAAGTGAAATGAGTAGGCCAAAATGAGTAGCATTTTTTAGTTTTTAATTTTTGTACTTTTTAAATTTTTATACCATTTTGCAGTTGCTTTCCAAGATGCTAAGTTGGCACAACATTCCTTCCCAAAATGAGGAGCGGGTCAGCATGCCCATTCCTAGCTCTCAAAGCCCAGCTCTCCACCCTCTCCTATCATTCCTTCTTCCCCTGAGTCTCATCCTGCCCTGGCCTGGACCTGGGAGGGCCTTTCCCTCAGAAAAAAAAGACCTGTCTCTTCGTCCCCCCAGATCTTGGCTTTTTGCCTCCTGAATGTCCATTGCTTTCAGTTATATGTGCTGGCCGCAGGGTCTATTTCTTATCTCAGGAAGAACACTCAGAAAAGGACATTCTTCTAATAACTAATTAATGTGCTATGATCTCTGCCTGAAATAACTTCCCTGGCCTAAGGCCCGGCAACCCAGAGTAATAAAATAAACAATAAATCGGCCTGGCGGCTGCTCTCTGCAACACAAGCTGCCTCTGTGGAGTACAGTAGCTCTGTGTCCCTCTGGCCCTGGCAGCCTCTCCTCCTGCCTCTGCTCTTTTCCTCCCTTCGCTATTTCTCTCACTGGCACGCAGCCTCAGATGTCTCCTCTCTGGGACCATTTGGCCCCCTGGTCACTCCTTTCTACCTCCTGCTTTCTGTGGCTCCTCTATTCTGCCGGTACTGGAGGTGAATAGCTGGCTATTCCAGGGGCTGAGGAAGGCTCCAGTGCTCCCAGAGACGCTAATGGAGGCCTTACTGGACCTTGCTGAGCTAAAGTGGAAGCCCTGGAGGGGCCCATTGCTGCAGAACTCAGCTGCCTAAGTCTCCACATTAGATCATGGCTGGTCTCAAGGAAGCACGGACCTACTGTAGTGTGATTTGGACTCTGAGCTATAAGCACATAGTAGGGCAGCTAGGTTGGGAGGGCTCCATTGTGAGAACTGCTCAGCTGACCTTTTCAGCCTCTCCCTTTTCAGAAGAGGACTCTGCATCTTCCCTCAAAGGTGAAGTGGCTACACCACCCCTTTTTATCACCCTGGCATCCCCAGCCAGTCTCATCCTGGGTGTTACAGCAACATCACCCTGGGCAAGATGGTTCTCTGGAAAGCCAAAGGGTTAGAGAATGAGGGCTTCCATTCTGGATAGATCCCCTGATCTGTGCAAAGTCTGTCCTGCTGGCCATAATCCCTGCAACACCTTAGTCCCTATCCTCCCGCTAAGGTCAGTAGATGTCCTGTGATCTAATGGGTCTCATAGTGAGGTTGGGTAAAAATCCACCTGCTTCATACTCAAGGGAGCAGAAGGCTGTAGGTCAGAGGAAACATGTCTGCCTTCCTCAGGTCCAGCTTAGGATCTGCTTAGAATGTCAGGTGTCTGGAGGTCTTCAGGAAAAGCATTTACTGGGAGGAGAAGGACCTTTGAAGAAAGGTCTCTATCCCATTTCCACTGCCAGTGGAACAGAGGCCATGGAATACTGGCTAAGTCAGCAGAATCCAGGCTCCATGACTTCCTAGCCAAGAAAGCCTAATCAGAGGGGCTAATGAAGGTCAAGCCATCTAACTTCTCTGATCCTTGGTTTCCTTATCTCTACAATTTGCACAGCAGTAACTACCAACAGGGTTACTGTGGGATGCAGGGACAGAACCAATTTAGCACTGTTATGTTCCAGGCACCACGTTTAAGGCTTATCATTCCCTTTCCTCTTTCTCTAACATGAGACTTACAGAAACTCCCCTCAGAAGATGGGAGGAAGCCCTTCTCCAGCCCCACCAAGTAAGGGAAAAGGAAGGAGGAGCTTGCCTCTCTGTGTCTCTGAGGGCTGTGGGAGAGGCATGACCCTGAGCTCTAGTCGGCACCTGATGGTGCCCTGGGAAGACTGGCTGTCTTGGGATGGGGACAAGACAGAGAAAGCAGCAGGACAAGGTTCTTCTTCCTTCTGAAATCACTTAATCACATGGCTCGACCTACTGTGCACCCAAGGACAATGTGGCCGTTTTAGGGACTCCAGAGCTGACTCATACCTCACCTTGGCCATCAAGAACTTCCCAACTACAACCTCGCTCTGTGTCTATGGAGTGCTTTATGGTCTCCC